TCTGGGAATTGCTAGAACACAGAGAAAAAACTCAGGCGGTGGCCCCTCATTTCCTTTGACACGGAAGGCTGACTGTGAAGGGCTATGAGCCATCAGAGCAGCTCAGTACCAGCTGCGGATCCTCCCTGCGCTGGACGAACCGCTGATGTTGCAACTGCAACGCACTTCAGAGAAATCTTCCCTGCTCCACTTGCATTAGACAGAATTCAGAAAAGAATTATTGCTCTTATTCCTCACTTCAAGGGAAACTGTAAGATCTTCTGATTTGCTGAGCATAAACAATCCCAACAGAATATTAAATGCACTGCGTATTCAAAACTTGCAGCCTTTTTTCTCCGAGGCACCCACTGAAATGGAGGGAACAGTCATCAGACTCTGATACATGCTTTACTGTCACAGCAGATATTCTGATGGAGAATCAGCAGAAGAACAGCCATCAAGCAGAGTGCCCAAATGCTCTCTGAAGCAGTGCTCATATTCTCCTGTATGTAGGAGTATAAATCCGAAAGCACTGGTGCTGACCCTGGCAGGAAACACTCTGCAGGGCAGTCACTAGAATCACAGAATCATAGAATGGTTTAGGTTGGAAGGGACCGTGAAGACCATCCAGTTCCAACCCCCCTGCCATAGGCAGGGACACCTCCCACTAGACCAGGTTGCTCAAAGCCCCGTCCAGCCTGGCCTTGAACACTTCCAGGGATGGGGCATCCACAACTTCCCTGGGCAACCTGGGCCAGTGCCTCTCCGCCCTCAGAGTGAAAAATTTCTTCCTGATATCTGATCTAAATCTATCCTCTTTCAGTTTAAAGCCATTCCCCCTCGTCCTATCACTACCTGCCCTTGTAAAAAGTCCCTCCCCAGCTTTTGTGTAGGCCCCCTTTAGGTCTGGAAGGCCGCTATAAGGTCTCCCCAAAGCCTTCTCTTCTCCAGGCTGAACAACCCCAACTCTCTCAGCCTGTCTGCACAAGAGGGGTGCTCCAGCCCTCTGACCATCTTTGTGGCCCTCCTCTGGACCTGCTCCAACAGGTCCATGTTTTTCCTAGGTTAGGGGCTCCAGAGCTGGACACAGTACTCCAGGTGGGGTTTCACAAGAGCATAGTAGAGGGGCAGAATCACCTCCCTTGACCTGCTGGCCACACTTCTTCTGATGCAGCTCAGGATACAGTTGGCTTTCTGGGCTGTGATCATGGATTGCTGGCTCACGTTGAGCTTCTCATCAACCAACACCCCCAAGTACTTCTCAGGGCTGCTCTCGATCCATTCTCCACCCAGCCTGTATTTGTGCTCTTGGGATTGCCCCAACCCATATGTAGGACCTTGCACTTGGCCTTGTTGAACTTCATGAGGTTGGCATGGGTCCACCTCTCCAGCCTGTTCAGGTCCCTCCGGATGGCATCCCTCCTGTCAAGTGTGTCTACCTCGCCACATAGCTTGGTATCATCAGCAAACTTGCTGAGGGTGTACTCAATCCCACTGTTCATGTCACCAACAAAGATGTTGAACAGCACTGGTCCCAGTACCAACCCCTGAGGAACACCACTTGTAACTGGTCTCCACTTGGACCCTTTGAGTGTGACCGTCCAGCCACTTCCTTATCCACTGAGTAGTCCATCTATCGAATCCATGTGTCTCCAATCTAAAGACCAGGATATCATGCGGGACAGTGTCAAACACTTTGCACAAGTCCAGTTAGATGATGTCAGTTGCTCTTCCCTTGTCCGCTGCAACTGTAACCCCCTTGTAGAAGGCCACCAAATTTGTCAGGTATGACTTGCCCTTGGTGAAGCCATGTTGGCTGCTGCCAATCACCTCCTCTTTTTCCATGTGCCTTAGCCTGCACATTTCCAGGAGGATGTGCTCTACGATATTGCTGGGATCTTGTCTCACAGAGGTGAGACTGACTGGCCTGTAGTTCCCTGGGTCCTCCTTTTTTCCCTTTTTGAAAATAGGGATTATGTTTCCCCTTTTCCAGTTGGCAGGAACCTCACCAGACTGCCATGACTCAGTACCTCCGCTTTGTCTCTATCCCAGGTGACCAGGTCTACCGTTTCCTTCCGGAGAGGGCCCACATCTTCCCCAGTCTTTCTTTTCTTGCTGACATACTTACAGAAGGATTTTTTGTTTGTCTTGATGTCCCTGGCCAGATTTAATTCAATCTGGGCTTTAGCTTGCCTGATCTGATCCCTGGCTGCTCAAACAATCTCTCTGTATTCCTCCCAGGCCACCTGCCCCTATTTCCACCCTCTATAGGCCTCCTTTTAACTTTTGAGCATGTCCAGGAGCTCCTTGTTCATGCAGGCCTCCTGGCTTTTCTGCCTGCCTTCTTCTTTGCTGGGATGCATTGCTCCTGAGCTTGGAGGAAGTGATCCTTGAATATTAATCAGCTTTCTTGGGCCCTTCTTCCCTCCAGCGTGTCATCCCATGGCACCATGCCAAGCAGATTCTTCAAGAGGCCAAAGTCAGCTCTCCTAAAGTCCAGGGTGGTCAGCTTGCTGCGCACCCTCCTTGCTGCCTCAAGGATCTCAAACTCCAAATAATACAATATAATGGTGCCAAAAACCATAAATAAGAATTTTCAGCCCATAACGCAAAAATGTGAATGAGGGAGCCTTGGTGCTACTGCTTTGATCTGGCTCCAAAAATCTAAACAAGATCTGAAATCAAGGGTTGAAAAAACAAAGTGTGCTCAGGAAGAATCAACGCAGGGTGTTTCTGAGAACTTCCAGCTGGTAGCAACAGCATAACACATGACGCTGCTGTGACACTGGCTGAACCACAGCCCTGACGTTTCCCAAAACAAAACCACATACATCTCATCAGTTATTCCACAACCTTGCAACTTAAGAATCTGTGTATGACAACATTCCCAGCTGTGCTTCCAGAAGGAAGACCAAATCCTGGGAATGCGCAAATGGGTGGGAGTGAAACAAGCTTCTTCATGTCGAGGTCCTGAAATGAGGAATCGAAGTCAGCAAGTAACAGGAAACAGAGCTGTGGGACCAAGAGGAGACCCACCTCAAAAATAAGCTCATCACGGTACAGCTCATCAGAACAGGATGAAGCAATGGACAGAAGAATGGCCCAGAATTGTTTTAATCTGTCTCTGAAAACATCTCTAGAAGCTTCTCCAGGCTCAATCTGTTTGTTTTTGCCTTTGACTCCTGGGAGTCTTACAGAGCTCATGTTGGCCCAAGCACAGAATCACAGAAGCATCACAAAATAATGTGACAAATAGGCAGCCAGTGTCATTGCATCAGTGGAAAAATACCTTTGCTGGAACTAAATTTAAGGCACTATAATAACGTAGGAGAGGATTTACTCTATAATTTTTGCTTTGGTTTTTGAAACAAACCACTGGTTTGGAACAATTGCTGCCAAATTGCTTGCATCTGCACAGACAGTTATTGCAAGGATCTCTTTCAGGATGGAAAGCTATTTGCTGCAAACCATTCACATCCCCACTGTACTATAGCTTGGTAGCATGAAAGCTATCCCACAAGCTTTGTGCCCACACAGAACAGAAATTCCTCATTTATACAGTCTTTAGCCTAAGAGCTTCATAAATATTGATGAGCCAAGACTCCCAAGGCTTGAGTGAGAATGACCCACCATCACGTGGTTTTGACTGCGGACTAAAGCTCAGAAAGTTGCACAGCCTGTCTGTGCCTTTTTCTACTACGGAAAATATTCAGTCTCCTGTCACCTACCTCTTTCCCTCTCCCACATGCCTGTGATTTTTTTAAAAACTACACAGAGAAGTCTGACATGTGGGAGACGAAAAAGTCTGCCCTAGGACAGGTGCATTTGGAAGAGGAGGAGTGCTGGAAGTCACAGACACACAGCAGAACTTGGAAAGCCCATGAAGAAAGAGTAAAGCCAGCAGCACCGTTACGGCACATGTGTGCCCCGCTATTTTTTCAGGGGTTACCTGGTAAAGCTCATAGCTTTTCCCCTTCAGCCCAACATGGCAATGATTCTGGGACTGTTTCACACCGGGAGGGCACAGTGCAAATCCAAGCTAGATGCCCACCTCTAAACAGGTTTTACTGGTGAGTGAAGAAGGAGGAACATGAGAGTGAACAAAGGCATGCTCTCTCCCCAAGATGGTGGAAACCTTGACTGCACTGCTGCTAGACCTGTAGAAGATACAGGCACCAGCAGTTCTTCCTTCCAGGAACACTGAGGTGATCCCTGCTCCCTCCATGCATTATGGTAGACCTGATGCAGGCTGATTGCGGGAGTTCATATGCTCAATTGGTAAAGCAATATAGGAAAAACATCCACTTCATTTTCATTTATAAGCATTTGGCAATGTTCCCTCTAGACCATGAACAGTGTAAACAGTGCGCCTCAGGGCAAGCTTACATTACTGCATGGCCTCTGCACAGCTACATTTCCCTGCAGATGCTGGTAACGTTTGACTGTCCTAGTTATGTTCACCATTTGGGAGAGGTTTTGGGATGTATTCCACAGCAAATTTCAAAGAAGCGTACACATCAGTACTCTGCTTCATTAACTACACAGCCGCCGAGTCAAACAGAAATGCAGTCACATTGTATGTCAACTTATCAGTCAGAGCTGGTGGGGAACCTCCTCTCCCTCACAGTGGAGTAGAGGGTTCACAGTACTGACAGTAAGTTATTCAGCCCCAGCCGTGAACATGTGTACATGTGGGGGTCTGTGCTGAATATCCAGTCTTCACTGGTGAGGCTGCTATGACCGTAAGGAGGACAAAGAAAAAGCCCTCCAAATTTTCTCCTTAGGGAGAAATTGCAATCATCCTATTTGGAGCCTAAATCATCCTGTTTTCAAGGTAAGATTCAGTAATGCGTGGGGCCCAATCAATGGTCAATACCAATTTTAGTACTGTAGTATTTGAGCCAATGTAATATGTTCCTATAACATTAACGCAACTGCTGCATTTTAAATACCAGTCAGACCGTATTTTAATTATTACTGTTTGGTTTACTTCCGTGCACCCGATCTCAATAGTTACTCACATTCCTGAAGGCATTCTGTGTCTGTGCAGTACGACTGGGATTGTCTCAGCTGAAACAGAGAAAAAGAAAGGCATCACACTTAGCAACGAACCTCGGTCAGCTTTTACCAAAATCATGATTTAGTACAATGTCAGAGCACAAGTTCAAGATAAGATTATAACCGATCCTTTACTGCATCACGCTTGGCTTACGGTGTGTGAAGAATGCCAGGTATGGAGGTAGTTTCTGAACAGTATTTGCATAATACCTTTAAATCGCCTGACTAAAGCGTTATTGCTTCCACACAGGTTGCAGCCACTGAATGCCTTTTAAAATTCAAGTTAAAAATCTATAGTGATATAGACATTGTTATATAGATATACTCCCTACATGCATTTTGGGATTTATAATGCATAGGTGTTACTACTGTTATCCAGACCAAACAACATTAAAATACTCTGTGATTACATAGCAATAAGTGATCAGATGGTGATAATGGTTATGCACAGAGAAGCCGAATTAAAATTTCATATTTAAACTTAGCACTTACTATTTTTTCCACCTAGGATCGTTTTTTAAAAGCAGATTTTAATACGTATTTTACTGTTTTTTCTCATTACTGATGGGTAAAATTTAAAGTACTTTTAGCAACTGTAATGTCTATTTGCATTTACAGACTAGGTAAGCCTGCTAACTTCAAGAAAAGTCAACACTGCCTAACCTGCAAATCAGTGTAACTATTTTACAGATGACAGGGTCAAAAAAGAAAGACAAATATCATATTCTTCGTCAGGCACAGAGAGGTTAAATGGATAGGATTTAATCTGCTGTATTATGGAAATAAGTTTTATCCTCTGCTTAGGTAAACTAGACGGATTAATAATAAAAGTTTTTTAAAGTACAGAACTATTACAATGCCTTGGTTAGAACTGACATTTGCTTTTTGACAGGTGTTATGTCACAGTAGCACCACAAATCCCAACACTTCTTGACTTCTTGTCACAACAGGCTAATCTGTTTATTATCAGTGTAAATATACAAATGTAAAAGAGAAGAAAAGATGATGTTCCTTATGAAAGAAATACATGAATAACTTCTACAAACCCAATTTTCCCTTCTATTGGCATAACTGATTTGCTGTATGTAGTCATAATACAAGGAAACAGATGAGCAGTTGATGAAGGAAGACATTTGGAAAAGACTAAGCTCATTCTTTTATCATGATTTTCAATGACTGATGCATTTGAGAAATAAAAAAAATGTAATTGGAGATTGATCACATTCATCCTTTCATTAATATATTAAGATCTGCTAGCAAATTTACTGAGACTACAAAGAAATCCCTTAGGAAGTACTGGGAAGGCTGGATTTAACCTTTCAGCTATTTCTATAGTTAAAAACAGCAGTAGGGGAAATTCAAACAAAAAATTTCTACTCACCTTATTAAAAAAAAATCTATCAAACTATGAATAATTCCTGCCCTTCTTATATAAAAGCTTTTTTTTTTTTTTTTCAAACTTAGGAATGAGTTCTCAAAGGGGAGATTTTACATTAGCAATAATACCAATTTGGAATATCTGACACAGAGAGATTCCTGAACTGGGAAAACCAGATATCGCTATACCCACATTTTAAGGAGATCAGCAACATAATTATCTTCTGTTTGTATAAGGGTTTAATTCTGGAGAGGGCTTAATTTATCATCGGTACTCTGTAAAACACAGTTTAAAGGTATTCTTCAACACAGAATGATGCCCAGAATTAAAATGGGTAATAGGTATCTGATCAGAAACATCATACAGGTCAACAAGCATCTAGTTATCCCTCTGTCCCCAGGATGGTTAGTACTCATACAGTGTATCTCGTTTGCCCACATAGGCAACGCTGCCTTGAGGTGTTCTAGCCACAATATTAGTCGTCTCCCATTCTAAGTGTTACACTCTGTCCAAACAGAACTTTTTTGAACCACACAACTAACGTTTCTATAAAAACCACCTCAAAAAAGGGTGTAGGTATTTTTTGTTGCCGCTAACATCCTGTTCCTTCACCTGCCTACCAGATGGGCTTACACTGCCACCACAAAAAACAAATGATGGAGCTCCAGCTTTGACTGACACAAGTATGTTAACCAGCAGAGAAGCTTGTTTAACAAGAGAAAGATAATCTGGCTACAGCGATGCCTTTCTTGAAGAGGGGTCTCAGTGGCGACCATGATCACACCATGCTTTGTCCTTCACTGTCCCCTTGACCATTTCTTCATTAAAAGTCTACACGCTGTCTGGAAGTGCCTGTTGATGTAGTAGGCCACCTGATTAAGAGACAGTAAGTATTAAATACCTGAGATTTTGTGTGCCCAGAGGGTGCACTCAGATACTGAGTTCTATCCTACGGGCATCCTTGATGACTTCTCAAAAGACAGGACAGGCTCCAAGACCTTAGAATGAAAAGTACTGCTGGAAACACCAATGACAGAAATATGACAGTAAGCACGCAGTCTTAAGAAAAATACCATTAGGAGTTGCTCTACAGATCTCTGCTGAAAAAATGCTCTTATGTTAGATTATATCCTGCCAATAAGGAAAACAGTCTGCTTATGTATGGAGGAACAATGTACAGAGGAACATTTACAAAGTACAGAGCCATCTGTACTTTGTCTGATAATAGGGCTGTGCTTTCCAGAGGGCTTGGACAACAAATATTCCATGTTTTTCATGGGGAATTAGAAACTAACTGTACAAGGTAGGTTTAGAAACCTCAAATTCTGTTGTGAAACAGTTACAAGAGAAAAGTATGAAAAAACTGCATTTTTTACAATTTGTATGAAACTCCTCTAAATTGAAAACAATACGTGCTCATATAATCATGCAGATTTAAAGATCCCACCTAAAAGAAAATTACACTTCATAGTCTCTGCTACATTCATATCCAGCAATATAAATATTTACCAGAAATATTTCTCAACTATTCCAGGTAATACAAAAATTTCTTATAAAAACTGCTTGTGCTGGAGAAGATTTGGTCAGAACAGGACCACCCATAGACTCAAATAGGTTTTAAGAAGCCACAGATCACATCATAAAAACCACACTCAAATACCTTCTCATGCTCAGTTCCCCTCCTGACTACAAGCACATGTAAAATCTCAGTAATCCACAAGCAGAAGCTCTAGGAGGGCTCTGTAAGCCAGGGAGCCAGGTAACAAATGTGGTTTTAACAGCTCAGTGACATGCTGTGTGTCGTTCTCTTGGGATGAAACATGGCAGATGACAGAAAACAAGCAGCAGTAAAACCAGGTTTTTCTTAATTCACTCAGATGAACTAGTTCCTAACTCTGTAACCCAATACAAATCTGATCCCCTGTGGTCACTCAATTAGTCAACAGACGAGAAGCGATTCTGGCACGTGTATGGAATGCTTACATAAATTGAATGGCTGGGAAAGGTAATGCCTTTTGCTGAAACAGGAATGTTCCTTCTACCAATTAGCTCTCTCTTGACAGCTACACCCTTAAAGGACATAGCAACTGTTGGAAAAAAACTGAACGTGAGACATTTCAATCATCAGGCTGTGCGACATTTCATCATACAGGCTGCCCAGAGAGGTGGTGGAGTCTCCCACTTTGGAGACCCTCAAAACCCGCCTGGACGCCCTCCTGTGCATCCTGCTGTAGGTGACCCTGCTCTGGCAGGGGGGTTGGACTAGATGATCTCCAGAGGTCCCTTCCAACCCTGACCATTCTGTGGTTCTGTGATCACACAATTGAAAAAAAAGCAATTATCAGGGACTGGAAATAAACAGTCCTTTGTTTTCAGATTTTCTATTCCGATGTGGAGGGGGCATTTGGATGAAAGTCTGTGGAACAGTAGTAAAAAGCTGAACCAGACCTTCCCTCTTCTCAACAAAACCCTCAAAAAGACTTTTCAAATACACTCAATCTTTTTCAGACTGGGAACACTACAGAGTTGATGAGAAAAGTCTGAATCAAGAAGTAATTTCTTAGAGTACGTTACCTCTTGCATACTGCAATATTATTAGTGGTGGTTTTGGTTTTATTCACATTTCAGAGATCCTTGTGTTGACAAAAATGTGAATTTAGTGGAAGGCTAATAGTTGACTGCCTGATCTGACACCTACTAAAGTCAGAAACAGCTTTTTCATGTTTTTCAGTGCTTTCTGGAACAGGCCCTTAAAAAGAACACTGAAATTAGGTGAGTGAAACGTCAGGGTTTATTCAACAAACGAAGAGAGTGAAAAATGCTACAAAACTAAATATTTGTAGAAATTATTATTTTCTTCCATTTAAATGAAGATTATATCTGAATTTTAACATTCTGTGTGCAGTTTGTAATGCAAATACAATAAACGGCTTAGTGCATGTGAGCCAAAAAATGAAGTAATTTATCTTTTATTGTCCAAAATGAAGTAAACACAAATTGTAAACAGCACAAAAGCTAAAATGGAGCTAAAAAGGCTCCAAAATTTTCAGTTTTAACGCAATGCAAACTTTCAGGCAATACAAGTAAAATACTAATTATAAATGCACATTATTGAAAATACAACTGTGAACTTTAACTCACTCCAAGTACATTGAAAATTTTGAACAGCTTAAGCTAAAATAATTTAAATTAATAATCCCCACACCACAAGAACTCTTGGTCAGTATGAGTATTTGGTTTCTATGAAGTCCCTCATAAATTCCTGGAACTGGGAGGCACCAGTGGCTGAATTACAGCAAATCATATTTTGAGTATTGACTTTGGCATATTTTGAATGTAAACTCAACACAATGCTGTGAAAAAAAAAATCAAGTTACTTCTACTGGTAAGACAGAAAAAGGCTTTTCCTCAGTCTTTCCCCATGACACTCAAATTTAGCATTGCAAAAATAAAAAGAGCACATTTAAAGTGGCTTCCAGTTAAAATTTGAAATTACTCTTCCTTTCTTTTTTTTTTCTTTTTCCAAAAGACACAGCTTTTAGCCCCAGTTCACACTAACAAAAAAAGCGCTTAGATCCTGCTCCTTTGACACTATATATATAGCTTTAACATGCCATCTTGTGGATCAACAGCA